CCTCCTCTTTCACCCTCTCCTCGCTTCTCACTCACAATCTCCTTTCCAGCTCGTATTCCTCGACCCAGTATCTACCTTCTAAAGCCACCCCTGGAGGAACTACTGACCAAAAGAAAGTCCCCTTCGACCTGCCTGGTTGTGGGTTATGACCTGGACCAAGCAAGAGTCACCCACCCTTGCTCCCTCTTTGAGAGCAAGGAGGACAGCATCTGGAAGCCCAGAGGTGAGAGAAAAAAGCAAGGGAGGTCAAACATTTATCCATGGCGTTCTGCTAGGCGTCTTGCCTTAGGGGTTACTTTCCTTCCCAGTGAAAGACATGGGAGGCAGGGGACTGGGTATTAGATTCTCTCCTGAAGAGGTCTAGAGAGAGTGATGGAAAGAGAGGCATCAAGCTGTGGGTAGGTAGATGATTGGAAGCAAGGATAGAATGGTTGGACAGATGGATGGATGGCCGGCCCTGTGTGGCAATGGCTCAATAGATCACCATGGTGTGGATTGATTTCAGTGTACCCACACCACATTTTGAGTATCTAACACCAGGATTAAGAGATGGAACCTCATAGAAGCAGAAGAGCTGGTCTTGCCTTTGCAATCCTCCTATGGCGGCCATTCCCTGCCTCATCTCCACCCCCACCCCCAAGTCTGGGGTCAATCTGGAGAGCACTACCCATTGGAGGGGGACAGCCCATATCTCATTCCCCATCCCCCATGAGTCAGTCCAACCTACCCCACCCTTATGCTAGGTCAAATATAGGGCCCAGCTAGGGGAAGAAGGCCTTCTACACCAGACATCCAGTCCCATTAATTTCAAGGTTTTGATGTCACTTAAAATGAAATCACAATGCAATTCACTTCCCATGCAGATGCCTGGATGACCAAGAGCCTTTTCATGTCACTGGTTCTCCTATCACCTGTGTAGCCTGGCTCCAGTGAGGTGGTATGGGTGAGGTCCCTGGAATTTTTCCATCCGAGATAATCTTCCAGTGGAGAAGGAACAGTAGCAGCATTAGTCCCTCTGCCACCTTCTCTGCCCAAAGCCTCCTGAAAATCCCCACTTCTCAGTGGGAAACTGGGGCTGTATACACATGCTTGGTAGGACATGAGTCCTCATCTTCTGTGCAAAGCTTGAGCAAGAATATCCGAGGTAAGTCCAGTGGAAAGGTGGGAAGAAGGCCTTCTTCCCCTGGAATGCTTGCAATTCAGGCTTGAAGGAAATAAACTGTACTGCAGTGATTATCAATTGGGGTAATGAAAGATCCTTCTAAGGGTACCATAGCATCTGGCCCCTGTGCAATGTGAAAGTGCTCACTCCTCCATGCACCAGGAACCCCCAGCATCCTACAAAAAAGCAGTGCTCATGACTGCTCTTCAACTCACACTCCCAGGGATGGTAGGAGGGGCTACAAAGGCTGCTGACTCTGGTCATGGGTGTGTGAGACCCCAGGGAAGCAGTCTTGGTGATGGAGGCCATGCTTGCCCCCTCAGGTACAGAGCAGGGGTGGGGGGGGATCAGTGGAAAAAGCCAAGAAGAGTGGGGTGAGGCCTTGCCCCAGCTGCCCTCACCTGGCACCAGCCAGATTCTAGCTCAGTGATTCTCAACTGGAGTCCTGTTAAAGTCAGAAAAGTTATAGAAGAAAGCCTTGAGGCTAAAGAGATTGAGAGCTACTGCTATGAGGCACCTGTTCTGCACTGGGGCAGAGTGACTTGATGTTGGTATGGCCTGGCTGTGTAAAGGACATGAGGATGCCATATGGTATTGTGATGTGTTGCTATGAAATGGTGAGTTCTTAATAGTAACACCAGTAGTTTTGTGTCATAGAGCAGCTGAGGTTGGCTATGCCATGGATGACACTACATTGTAATAAGACATATTCTGTCAGGACTTTGCTGTATGCTGATTGTGAGAGTGCCTTTCTTGGTTGCAACATCTTGCTATTATGTCACTGTTAGATATCACTTTGTTGCAACATAAGATTTTGTCACAGCAATTGGGTACTTTCCCATTTTTGGCATACGTCTTGTCATCATGTGATTGTATGTTCTCTCTCACTGGTCCCACAGTATTATTTTATGCTGCCTTCCTTCTTTTTTTTTTTTTTTTGCATCCATTCTTATCGTATGCTGTTATTTTAGTCTGATAAGTTGATATTTTTGTCACCATGTATTAATGGGTTGTTGGGACTATGATTTATGATGAAGTGATGATTTTTCATGATGTATCAACATCACCTTGTCACAAGTCATGCTTTCACGTAAGGACGTGCCTCACCCACACAGCATAGATATACAACTCAATGCACTGATGTTACATCTCAATGTGATGCATTTCTATCATGATACTATATTTCTATTGCACCTCAACATGATGCGTAACAATCTGCTTTAGCACTTTCACTGCCTCTTGCTTCACTATAATGGTAAAATCTGCTTGGGATACATGGTCAACATTGATATGGTTATGTCATGAGTTTGCACCAAATCTTGTTGTGAACTTGTTGCATCATAGCAGGGTCTGCATCATATCATGTAAAGTCCTGTCTTCACTGAACCCTTTTGCATAATGTTGCATCCTACAGCTGATTTATGAAGCAGTGTTCACTCTTCCTCTCCATGTCATACAGTTGTGATCCAATATGGTGCTTGCATTGCACCATAAGCATCATCACACTTTGAAGACAATTCCTTTCGGTTTGAAGGAGTCAAGCTCTTCATTTCCAGGGGTCAGAATTTGCACCTTGGACACTTGGTGCTTCAATTTCATTGACGCTAAATCCTCCAGGATTACATGACTCTCTCCCTCCCCATGCCACCCCTCCCTCTCGC